CGTGTATAACGAAAAAAAAAATACACTTCAAGACAAGGTAACTGCTTTAATCTATCTATATTTAATGTCACCGAGATAATAATATCTTATTTAGACACTGGTCATGTGACAAACTACCGTATTTTAACTCTATCTAGTACAGTGTTTCTTGAGATGCTTACAGTGGCTCAACTGGTTAACAAATTCTTTGCCTTTTATGGAATCCGATGGCTCATTGACGTGTCAACAAGAAAAAACCTTCACTGAACTCTATCCTGAGCCACTTGAAGCTGGTTCATATCGGAAAACCACATTTCTACGAAACATATTTTAATATTATCCTCTCATTTAGGTATACTTGTCTGAAAATTGGTCTCTTACGTTCAGATTTTCTCACAAATTTTGTAAGCATTTCTTATCTCTCCCATGCATAATATATTACATTACTCTAAATTTGTCCCCTCACAATAGGAAATCAAATTGCTATCCCATGCAACCCTTTTGTAGCCTACTTTCCTTATTTTGAAAAAAAAAATAAAAAGGAGGTTTATGAGATCACCATGCTGTGTGTCTGTGAATCCCCATTATTAACTTTTGAATGTCTGAACCAATCTTTGTTATAGTTGGTTTGTATACCATGGCACCTGAACCCATCTGAATGGAGCACTTCATAACTATCTCCCATTAGTCTGTGTGTCTGTATGTATATCCTCCTATCGTCACTAGGCAACGGCTAGGTAAAAACGTTACCTTGATAACGAATACAATAGGACACAAAAGAACAATCGTCGGACGCGTCGTTTTGTATGCGATTCATGGCTATCAAAGGACAGCAGGCGATCAGTTTCTTTCAGAACCGCGTCAATATTGGGACACTAGCTTGAAAGCTAGTCAGGAGTATCTAATAACTAACTTCATGGCCTTTAGTTTGCAAGCGAACTATACCGACTGATTGACCTCCGCTTGTCGGCGAAGTTAGTGCCAACTTTAGCGGAGAGAGGGTGTCGCATGGTCAGCGCAACGAACCCCACGGCCGTTAATTTCGGTTTTCTAGACCAGAGCCGCTATTTCCTTGAAATAGCTCCCAAGTTATTCTCACGAGGCTGAGTGGACCCGGTTCCAGACCAACTACTTCTCATAAAATCTGGCAGCGCCGGGAATCAAACCCGCGACCTCTGGATCTGTAGCCAGGAACTCTGACCATTAGACCACAGAAACGGTCTAAAGGATCGTCCACATTACTCGTGCTCGTGCGTCAGAAGCTTACTGCTGCCGGAAAATCAGGATCTGGAGCTGACGAAGTGGACGCCCAAACTGATTTGCATACAAAGCCTTTGCATTTCTTCGCAACAGATATCAGCTCCAGATCCTGACAGCAGTAAGCTTCTGACGCACGAGCACGAGTAATGTGGACGCGCCTTAAGAGTATCTAATATTGAACGAAAAATGAAGACGAGATTATACAGGATGAGCCGGGAAACATGTGGCGCAGTTTTTCAGTGATACACGTATTTAAATTCTTGTCCCAGAAGTTGCACAGAGGCAAAAGAAAATGAGGAAGAAAGAGACTGTTATATCCTGATTTCCAGCCCACCCTCGAACTGAACTCCTGTATACGAAGCAGAAAAAAAAAATCACGTATGGGAGGAAGCTGCCATTTAAATTACCTTCAAGAGGCTAATGAGGGAAGCTAAACTCCTGCTCCCTTTATACGCCGTCAACGCGTGGTACTTTGTTAAGCATACGAAAGATTTTCTGTACCTAACAGTGAGCGATAACGCAGATACTCTGTGCAATATCGGAAATTATTAAAAGTGCCACGGAACCTGAAAAAAAAATACATTTCGTTGTAATTTCCACTAAATTCTAATGCTTAATAAGCTAAAGAAAGCCGCTGTGGATCCTTCGTGTTCACGGGCGAAGTAGGCCGCCATGTTGTGTACGGCGGCAGCGCTGCCAACCGCCATACCGGCTACAATTATTGCGTTCCAGCCCTAGAATTTTATTCACTCACGCACTCACTCATGGAGCTGAACCCTTCTTGAGAAGCCGCCAACTGTGCAGCTACTCAAAAACTTACCAGCATTTTATGGAACCCGAAGATTCATTACCGTGTTCACAAGGGCCCTCCACTGGTCCCTATCCTAAGCCATATCAATCCATTCTATACCATCCCATCCTGTCTTAAGATCCACTTTAATATTTTCCACCCACCTACGCCTTCGTCTTCCCAGTGGTCTCATTCCTTCTGGCTTTCCCACCAATATCCTATATGCATTTCTCTTCTCTCCCATTCGTGCTACATGCCCTGCCAACCTTATCCTCCTCGATTTCAAGTTCCGAATCTCATATCTATTTTCTTTAGCCTAGGTCGTTTATCCAGAGGATCCATCCAGGTCCGAGACTTTTTGAACACTTTCGTAACAAGTTTATTTTTTTACGTCGAGGATTTGATAGCCCCACGGCCAACCCCCCAGATGGAGGACCACCCCTTGTCGGCTGCCTCCGACTGCTTATTCAATATATTCGCAGCTTCCCTCCATACCTGGAGGGCGTCTCCTCCATCCGCAACCTGAGGACGCGCCATGTCGTGGTCACAAGAGACCCACTTAACATGGCTTACCAAATAAAATTCACTACTAATAGTAACACCCAAAGCCTAATCATAGAGCGTTATTATTGCAAATGGGTTTATAAAAACATAACCAAAAGCCTATTCTTTTACGAACGAATCCAGAAATATATAACTAAAACTGAAAACATAGCTTGTTAATTCGTTGCTGGATCCAACGTGTCTGTTTTACCAATGAAAATAAAAGTTCTGGGAAGAACTAATAGTGACATGGTACTGACCACATAGAAAACCAAAATGTTACAGGGGGGCATATTGACACAGAGAGAGCAACGTGATCCAATAAATCTACTTTTATTTTTTTAAAAAGAAGGAAAATAGGATAATAATTAAATGTCTGACATCAGGGAAGCTGTTACACCCACCGAAATGATACAAACCGTGTTCGGAGATTCCATATAACTTCCGTTTGTTAATATCTAACCTATCGTGCGTGAACTTCTTAACAGTGACAGTAAACTGCGACAGTTCTTGCGTACTGCGGTTCTCAGAAGCGTACCATATCAGTACCTTGTCATTATCTTATCAGTGACCTGCTGGTATATAAAATCTCACGAATCTTAAAAATAAACTTATTCCTAAGGACCTGTCAGGTAAGTTCAAAAAGATCATCATGATCGTCTGCTTCAACGTAAGTTTCCATCAACACGTTTCATCTCAAAGACTATCCTACATTTCTCCGTCCTTATGGTTAGTAATTCTTCACCTTCTTACGTCAGCATTGGATAATCAGTCCGTTCTTAAGATGTGATTAAAGGGCCGCGCCATAGCTCAAGCGGTTAGTCGCTGGCTTCCCATCGCGGCGGCCCGGGTTCGACCCCGGGTCTGGTCAAGTAGGATTTGTGGTGGACAAAGTGGCGCTGGGGCAGGTTTTCTCCTAGTACTTCGGTTTCCCCTGCCAATCTTCATTCCACCAATTGCTCCACAATCACCCTCACCTATCATCTGGGGATGGTACAATAGGCAAGAAGTGGCCGCAGTACAAGGGACTTAGTTCCACTCCTCTAACAATAAAAAAAAATGATGTGATTATGGCACTTGTTCTATAGACTTGGGTTCTTTCTTCTAAACCATATACAGTAAAACTTGGTTATAGCAACATCGGTTTCTGCGACACCTTGTCTATTGCGTCAAATATTCAATGGTACGAACTAATTCCTCATAAAGCAACTGTTTTTATACCTTGCTTAGTACGACATGCACAAATGCATCAACCTCGTATGTAACGTCATTTTCATTCCTGAATTTCTCTGATATGGACATTGAACGTAATTTAGAAAGTGTGTATTGGGCAAGTAACAGGAAACAGATGAAGATAACTGATTACTGTACTCGTATCTAGGTACAGTAAGGCACAACAATTGATGTAATCTACTGTAATTTGGTGAGTAGGCCTACCTTTAATATACAGTATTAGTGCGGTGTGTATTGTCAGTGAAAAGCGCTGTGATCTGTCTTTGATATTACACATTTGGGCAATTCCACGTTAATGTTACGTTGGTCTGTACTTAACTACGTATTTCTCTTAAAAAATGCAACATTTTAACTCAGTTTTTGGTAGATTTTTACGTGACTAACATAAGGCTACTGTGGAAGTGCCCATTTCGGTTACAACGACATTCGTTTATAACGACACTATTTTTAGGTCCCTTTGATGACGTTATAACCAAGTTCTACTGTATCTGTAATGCGCTGCGTATTGCTGTAATGCTTACGTGGTCTGTGAGGTAATTCCAGAGAGAAGCCCTAAAAAGCGACATTCCTGCTGTTTCATTTGCTGCTATTACCGTCTCAAATTGAATCTGTGTATCATTTCCACTTCTGTTCCTTAGCTCTTTCTTCATATCATTCCATACATACAAACTGTTTGAGATTTGTACCGTGGCCACTTCTGGCCTATTGTACCAGCCCCAGATGATAGGTGAGGGTGATTGTGGAGCAATTGGTAGAATGAAGATTGGCAGGGGAAACCGAAGTACTCGGATAAAACCTGCCCCAGGTCCACTTTGTCCACCACAAATCCCACTTGACCAGACCCGGGATCGAACCCGGGCCGCCGTGATGGGAAGCCAGCGACTAACCGCTTGAGTTATGGCGCGGCCCAGGTTTGGCGCTAGTTAATCTTGTTAGTAAATTTATCTTCGATGTTAGTATAAAATGGTGTAAACTGAAATAATAACCACAATAGATTATCTTGTCTTCTACTTGTGGGGGAAATTTCTGTTGACTAGGATACAATCAGTTACAATTTCTGCATTTATGTCGCAAAGTTTTTTAGTATCTTACTGTTTTCACGTAGCGTTTTTTCTCCATTTGTGCCTATAAGATCGTTAACTGGATGATTAGCAATACGACAATTAAAATCACATGTTATTTTCCTTTATCAGGGACTCTCACCATGCTGCGAACTCTTATGCTCGCGCTAGTGTTTGCGGTATGTCTTCACGTGATTCAGGGTCACGTGTTGCAACAGAATGCTACACAGAGATGGTCCAAGGTGTCCCACAAATACCAGAGACTCTACAGAGCAAGTTACTACAATGTGCACGATGAACCCCTCACGTGGTTTGAAGCCAGCAATGTCTGCGGATCAGAAGGTGCTCACTTGTTAATCATTAACTCGCCAGCGGAAGCCGAGGCTGTGAAGAGATTTGTGGACCCCACCGTCGAGACGTACAGCGTCGGATTCCACGACCTGTTTAATGAAGGGACATTCACGACTGTTCAATGTATGTATTACAACTTCTCATTAAGCGTCTACGCCATTCATTCATTCATTCATTCATTCATTCATTCATTCATTTCATCAATGTCTCTACAACTTTTTGTTGGGCTCTGGCATTTTCTTCAGTTTCGTAATCACTGTTATACAGACGCTAGGATTCCTTGAACAGAAGATCAGCCCGTTGGAAGGCCTCTAACAACCCGCAGGACAACACAAACAGAATAAACACATACACAGATATTCATGCCTTGAGTTGGATTCGAACCCGCGATCCCAGTGGGCGGGCGAAGACAGTTCATGCCTTGTACCGCGCGGCCACTGTGATCGGCAAGCGTCTGCATCAGTGACAGGAAATTACTTTCCACTAGTGAAGAAACCCGTTGAAATTCAACGGACTTTCCTTTTCCTTACCCTAAAACGGCGAATTAAGTTATATCTAATCACTTTATCGTATCACCAGAAAAGTTACGTGATAGGTACCGCTGTTGCGTGACGCCGTGTTTACAGGTTGCCTAGCAACATTGTCTAGAGTTGTTTACTGCTGTGTAGTAACCGCGGTATCCCTTATTACGTCACCGCGGCAATGGTTGCCTGACACAGTTGCCCCTCTGTTACGTCACCGCGGGTGAGGGGATATGTGACGTCACTTGCGAGACCGCAGAGTTCACGTGACCCCTACTTCCCGTTGCGCCATCCACGTTACAATATTATCACTGTCAACACCTCTGTAACACCTCCAAACAACAATAATATGTGACGCGAGAATCGTACGATATTTTCCACTGTCTAGGAAAAAGTTGTACGATGTTTCGGAGCTTCGTTCTTTATTCGTTTTTGGATAGAACGAAATAACAATAACTAAGTAGTACTTCTTTGATATATTCAGATCATATGAGGGGCTAGACATTTACATGCAGCTGTTATCATCAGACTAGAAAGATTAGAAGCTAATAACTCTCACTTGGATACTACAATATGCATGTAAACGAAGCCAGTCTATATCAATGCGCTAGAATAACAAGAACGTTGGTTAACAGTAGACTACTCAGACATGAAAAACTACTTCTAATGATAACGTTCCGCTAAAAATATAAATTAATATATTCTCTTAAAATTTTTTTTAATTCGCTTAGTGCGGGGTGGAGTCCAACTGAGTCCGCTAGACACGGCGGCCACTGATTGGCCTAGTGTAGCATGCCCCGGGTGATTATGATGATGGTGAATATGGTAGAATGAAGACTGGCAGGGGAAACCGAAGTACTGGGAGAAAACCCACCCTAGCGCCACTTTGTCCACCATAAATCCCACCTGACCAGACCCGGGATCGAAATCGGGACGTTGCGGTGGGAAGCCAGCGACTAACCGCTTGAGCTCCAGAAGTGGCCGCAGTACAAGGGACTTAGTCCCACCCAACTAGCAATAAAAAAAACGCTTGAGCTATGGTGCGGCCTATAATACAATTGTTACTATAACAGAAAAATAATATACTGGTTATCACCATTTTTTCCTCGGCACTACAGCCCTAGTGGGCCTAGGCCTACCGCCATGAACTTCACCGTTCACTTCGGGTTTTTTGTAGATCTTTGACATACGGTAGGACTCCTTGGGCGGGTGATCAGCTCGTCGCAAGGCCTCTACCTGTACACAAACACAGAAAAACGCACACAAACATCCATGCCCTGAGTGGGATTCGAACCCACGATCCCGGCTTCCGAGCGAGAGAAGACAGTACATGCCTTAGACCGCTCGGCTACCGTGACCGGCGGTGTATAAGAATAATATATAAGAATTCAGTTCGTACCTCACAGGAAACAGATCCGAACCCACGATCCCGGCTTCCGAGCGAGCGAAGACAGTGCATGCCTTAGACCGCTCGGCTACCGTGACCGGCAGTGTATAAGAATAATATATAAGAATTCAGTTCGTGCCTCACAGGAAACCGATTCGAACTCACGATCCCGGTTTCCAAGCGAGCGAAGACAGTACATGCCTTAGACCGCTCGGCTACCGTGACCGGCGGTTATCACCATTAGGGTGCATAAATCTAAAAACTAGCTTTTATTATTAGTCAGACATAAGGGTTATGTCACAGAACTCGTAGAAGTGCTCTTTCCTCTTACTTGAAAATACAGAGTCAGTCTCCAAAACGTGATATGTACAGGGTGATTCAATATTATTATCTTGCTTTCAGTGGTCTGTAATTTTCAAATCGGAAAAAACAAAATAAAACTGCTTATGGAATATGAAAGTGTAACTGAATCAATCAAGACATCAATGCGGCTAATACAGCGTAGTTAAATAAAACATTTCCATATTCTGCAAGCGGTTTTATTTTTTTTATTTCAGGCTTGAAAATTACAGGCCAAGGAAACCCCCACAATAATTTAGAAACATCCTGCAATTTTGACTTCCACGAGGCAGACTATACCACACTCGTTTTCAGAAGATATGGAACAAATATCAGACGAGCTTCATAACTTGTACTCTTCTCTAATTGTAATTACAATGATTAAGTCAATGAGGATGAGGTGGGCAGGGCATTTAGCACGAATGGGGCGAAGAGGAATGCATATAGGATATTTGTGGGAAAGCCAGAAGGAAAGAAACCACTGGGAAGACCAAGACGTAGGTAGGTGGACAATATTAGAATGGATCTTAGAGAGATAGGCTGGGATGTTATGGAGTGGATTGATCTGGCTCAGGATAGTGACCAGTGGAGGTGTCTTGTGAACACGGTAATGAACCTTCGGGTTTTATAAAATGTTGGGTAATTTTTACGTAGCTGCACAAGTGGCGGCTTCTCAAGAAGGGCTCAGCTTCGTGAGTGAGTGATTGAGTGATGGTGTAAATATCAATAAGCACTGACTTCCTATTGAAAAAGGGCTGAAGAAGTACCCATAAGGTTGAAACACGGAATGATAATGTTATTCGGAATCTAATTTCACATCTAATTAAAAATGTGTAGACTTTCCTGTGTTTGTGAGGTATGAGTGTCACTTGCCTGTCCTTGATTATGTTTACTTCCGCTCCACACATACCTGAAACGCTTATAAAAGAAACCGTAAACCTGTCAATTCAAACTATTCAAGTTGCTAAATTATCTAATGAGTACTTGTGTTCTATTCGCAGGCCAAAGTCTGCAGGAGGCAGGTTACAATCACTGGGCTTTACTTGAACCCAGCTCCTTCCATAATGAAAACTGTGGAGGTATTAACCAACAGATATTCTTGCTTGATATCGTCTGTTCTAACCACTACCCGTTCATTTGCGAATATGAACCATAAAATGTACTGAAATATGTAATGTCTCATTACAAAGAATTAAGTGTATAATATAAGTTTTCTATAAATCAATAAAATATTATTAAAGTCTGAAATGTGAAATTTTTATCTGAATAGAAAACAAGGAAGTATTAGTCTCCTATACTTTAAGATAAACTATATTAATTGGCAAAAGATAGTAATTTAGAAATAAAAACAAGAAATTTAAATACCAAATTAGGTAGACAGACAGACAGATTTTCACATGGATGAAAGTATAACTGTCAGATTCTGCATATAGACATAAATATCGGAAATTGTGTCGTACAGCTAGGAAACAGGCCAAATAAAGTAACAAGTAAGTTTCTAGTTAGTCAATAAATGCGAAACAGCAGTTGAGACCATATTGGAGGGGCACTATCAATAAACACTCGATTTACTGGTTTCAAATAAGAGGAAATCTACTTTTAGGATTGCACATGGAAACATCAACCAAGAAAACGATGCTAGGTGTATACACTGGCAAGCCTTCAGTCCGCAGAAAAACTTGGGTTTTAAGAAAGTTTCGTTTTAGAACAAAGTGTTTCGTAAAGGTAGCTGTTCTATGCTTAACTACGTATTATACCATATGACGTACATATGAGCAGGGAGAAAGCTACCTCTCCATACATTCTTTACTTAGGCGTGGGCAGCTTCTCGCTCCGACCGCTTTACCAACGGGGAAAGAGACGCGGGTACTCACTGGACGCGAGGACCTGGCGGGACACAGACACGAAGTGAGCACTCTTGCGAAGAGATCCCTCAGCCTCTGTCAGAAATCAAACCTCGACATCCCAGTCCCTAACATGGTCACTATATCGACTGAGCTATCCCGGCTCACTTTGTACTAAAGGTAAATTATCTCTATGCGTAATAAATTAAGCACCACCTCATAAAGACGCATGGGGGAGAAGAAATATACTGATTCAACGTTCTTGACCTCGATACTAGATGGAGGTGTGATCAGCTTGATGCTTCGGCCGCTTTAACCCCCGAGGAAAAGTTCCCGACACCGATTATAGAGAAGGCTGGCTGGGTCCCAGAGCCTGTCTGGTTGCTCTGGAGAACAGAGATATATGTGTATCTTGCACCTGCTGGGAATTAACTCCAGTTCCTCGGTCATCCTGAGTTTTGTGATCGTAGGTAATTAAATTCTGCGGATGACGGCCTCTGTGACCTTACATCACAAAATGGTATAATGTAAATTCAAGAAAATATATGTAAATCAAACGGCAACACGTTAAGTAAAGGCAATTAGTACATATAATGAGATTTAAAACATTCCGTATGCAACTGTATTTGAAGGCAAGCACAAATTGCCTAGATTGCATGGCCGGTAAACGGTGGCATTTGGTTGGGGTGGGGATGGCTCGCTGATGGAAGTAGGCGCTAAGCAGACGAGTGGGAAAATTGTGTCCATTCTTTCCCTGACTCGACTACAGCGGAATACATTTTATTGAAAGTGAGTGAATGACCACTTGTAGCGACTATATGTGTATACTGAAATGGGCACTGACATTGTTCTACGAGCATTTCAGAAGGCCTTCTGATAACAGATTCACTTATCAGTCAATGTTAGCGTGCGATTTACTTTATCGACACACACCCAAGCAATCTCACATTAGTGTTGCAGCACTCATCACACTCAAGTAATCACAAACTGTTGGAGGATTTAATCAAGTTATCGTCCATTGTAAACACTATGAGGTTTGTCAACCTGCCTGATTATCAACAGAAGTCCATGAAATCTTACCTGATAGTGTAATAATTGTAATATAAATCTGCAGAATGAATGTAACTTATTTCCGAGAAATCAGTTAGAATAGCTTTAAAAAAAAAGCTACATTTGCCATATCATGAACTCTGATTAACGGGCTACACGAAACCTTGAAAGAAATTTACAGTTGATGAATAAGCAAACTATGATAAGCAGTTCAGGTTAAGTTCCTGTGACGGAATTTTTCAAACAAGATAGTAAAAGCATGTAGAATTTGAGGTTACCAGAGTGGCAAGTCAATCAAGAAACTAGCACTCCCTTGGCTTACCCTTCAAACCTGAAGTGGAAGCAACATGTTCCTTCTAAACTTCGGTCAGTATTCTATGGGCTATACGACGTTATATCTTTAGGGTAAGTGAAATTTCTTGAACAACTGAGTGACCAACAGCTTCTAAAGAAGGACTCTGCTCTATGGTGTTGATAAACGCAGTTCTGTAAACACGGGCGTAATATATGTAACCTTTGCATTCTCTCATTCTTTCATCATTGAAATTAAACATATTATCTACAGAAAAAAGTAAAGCTATCTCAAACCCTCCATTCAGAGTCCTCCTCCTGTGTCTATTATGGGGACCATACATGTACGAGTCTGGCTCGCGAGTCCGACTCGGCTCGGGTTCCAATGAGCCAAACTCGTCCGTGTGTGCGTCGCCACACTCATACGTGTGTGGTCAACTTAATCCGAGCCCGGCTCCTCGCCGAGCCGGACTCGCATGCTAGACTCGTACGGGTATGGTCCGCCTTGCCCTTAACTTCGTATGGTTTCGTGCCTTACTTGTCATGCATCTTCATCAGTTCTATGCAAGGGGTATTTCCGTTTCTCCCTACATGTAGCAATATTTTTAACCAAGTTATTGGCACATTTTCTTCTGACGTGATGTACAAGTATACACGGTCTCATTTATTTGTCTCATTCCGCTTATTCGGCTAATGATCTAATAGCAGTTATGATTAGTGCACTGCTTTTCTTTTGCCTCTATACCCATGTGTCGTTACCATATTTAAACATCAGTTTAGGATCTAACCAACGTCTTGTAACACATTAGGTTTCTGGCATCTCAGAATTCATTCGTTCATTCTTTCACATTCTTGTTGTTCCCTCTGGAACATAGGACATCCGCGTAAAGGTGCGGCCACACAGAGCGCTACGTACGCTATGTTCGCTATACGAACAGAAAAATATCTCCCTTTATTGCCAGTGTGACTGGCCACACAGACTTCAGTACGCTATGTTCCCTATGTTACCTGCGTCGCAGAATGTACACAGCGTACGTAGCGTACGTAGCGAACATAGCGTAGCGCTCTGTGTGGCCGAACCTTAACGTTTCGTTTCACTTCAATTTCTTAATCTTATAAACAGTCGGTAGGTCTCCTTTGACGGGGGATCAGCCCGTCGCAAGGCCGCTACCTACATAGGACAAGACAACAGAATAAACAGACACACAAACAACCATGCCTTAAGTGGGGTTCGAACCCACGACCAGAGCGTTCGAGGGAGCGAAGGACATTTTTTGCCTTAGGCCGTGCAGCCGGCATCTCAAAATTAAGGTCAGATTAATATTTAGCAAAAATCTTAATTTTATCCACCCCACCATTTTGTGCATTCTTTGTTTCCTTCTACGCCCAAATTACGGTCATACCACTATTTCGTAAAATATTTGTTTCCTAGTATTTCAGAATTAGGGTCAAACCACTATTTTGGAAAAACTCTTTTGTTTCCTAATTTTTCAGAATTTGGATCAAACCACGGTTTTGGACTATCTTTGTTTCCTAGTATTTCAAAATTTGTGGCAAGCGACTACTTTGGACATTTATTGTATCCTAGTGTTTCAGAATTGCGGTCAAACCACTATATAATACAATCTCCCTTTCCTGCTGTTCAGTTAACCGGTTTTACAATATGACTGCCACAACAGAGCACCCTGCCTGAACAGAAACCCTTTCCTGTACTACTGTAATACAGAACTTGGTTTTTGTCAGATTCCAGTCTGTTGAGTTCTGTAGGCTTTATCTTTTAAAACAATCATTTCAATGGAACTTTAAGCTTCTTACATACAACACTGACATTATTAACAACAACTACTACGTTTCACTCGGTAAAGTGACAGGCTGTAGTGGGATGGAAGAAAGCAGTTCGACTCTAGGAAGCTGGAGCACAAGGGTCTGTCTCTTCCCCCCGCCTCCATCACGTCCAGAACGGTGTTCCTATCGAACGGGAATTTATTTTCCGTAGGTAACACAACCGGACCGCCAAATCCCCAACCCCTCTTTCTGGTGTTGAGATTAGTAATTCGTGGAGCTTTAATTCCATTCCGCCATACGTCATCATGAAGTGGTGCTTAAGCACAGGGACAACTTTAAATTTACTTTACTGCATTAATACTGTGAATACGACAGAATCATCTAGAAATCTGTTACAGCTGAATGCGAACACAGGAATTCATATTACCTCCACTTGGGAACTTAACTGCTCACGGATTATCTAAGCAATGCAAATTTTATTGGATTTAACAGCCCTTTGTGGCGTTTCAATGCGGTGGACATTTTGACAGCTGCACTACAACATCAAACATTTGCCCAGAGAGAGATATGGTTTCGACAAGAAAGACAGACACATCCACATAGGGTGTAACAAACCTCTGGCCACACAAATTATTTATAACAAGATAAGTTCACTTCAGTGACACTGAAAGTCAATAACGGTCCAAGTACCGCAATAAAAGAAAAGGGCTTTTTAATTACTGTGATACATATTGTAACATGATGACTGAAGAAGACAGCCATTGCTTCGTAACAACTAGATAAACACGTATCCACGGCAACGGATACGCATGTAACATCAGAAGAACGGCTGGAAGCAGTGTTTTCTATGCGGTCCGTGCCAAGGCTACGATTACATCAACCGGCTAGGAGTTAGCAGAGAGTTCGTTGCCGTCAGTGGTACTTGACGGGCGGTGAGAGCCACTAACAGCCAGTGAGAGTCACCAGCTGCCAGTTATGGCTACGAGTCACGGTCATGTGTAAGTTACGAGCCAAATGCCATAGAGCGAGGAATTGAGCACAAAAGCAGAACCGCCATGCGACGCAACGGCTAGGGGAGACTACAATAAACTGGGGCGGCGTGTGATGTAGTGATTTGTTAAGTGTGCAGATTAACGAGAGTGTTATAATTATTTGTATTAACTATTTATAAGAGTCCAATAAATCCAATTATCCGCCCTAAAACCCCGTGTCTAGTCACTAACGCGTGACAATACGAGTAAGTTTATACATGGGACTAACTAATACTTCTAA